TGAGTGTGGGTGAGGGCGAGAGTGAGTGTGGGTGAGGGTGAGGGTGAGTGTGAGTGAGGGTGAGGGTGAGCGTGTGAGTATGGGTGAGGTTGAGCGTGAGCGTGTGAGTGAGGGTGAGGGTGAGGGTGAAGGTAATGGTTTGGGTGTGAGTGTGGGTGTGGGTAAGAGTGTGAGTGCGGGTTTGGGTGTGCATGAGAACATGGTTGTGGCTGTAGATGAGTCTATCTTTTTTGAATAGACACTCACACCCACCCACATCTACTTAAAAAAATGCTAACAGAAACTAGATAAAGTTTTTTTTACATGTGAGAAACGATGCATAAATATTTAACGAGCACGTGGTATAGCGAGCGACTCTCCGGCGAGCAAGTGTCCGTTTTTGTATGGAGCCAAGCAAATGTCCTACGAGCATGTATCCGGCGAGCAAGTGTCCACGAGCAGTTGTCTAGCGAGCAAAAGTCCGACGAGCAAAAGTACCGCGAGCAAGTGTCCTAGATTCTTTTCTCGGGGTTCAATGAAGCAACTGTTTTCTACAGTGTTAGTTATCCCGTCATTCATCGAGAAATCCTCCCAGCCTTGTAATGAAACTCCTACACTCGATAAAATACAATTAAACTTCAGTGTACCGCAAATCTATCTATTGAATTTCAATTCTATCTGCGAAACATTAAACTAACAGCGACAAAAAAACGCCAAACACCTCACTCTTTCCTCTGCAACTGATTTCCCTAAAAACATCAATACAAACTTCAACATACAACGAGAACTCCAACGTACTACAATCAACTCCAATATGACTCGCCACTTGTATTACGTATACAACATTCCTTAGAAAACAATCAATATAACTAAACAACAGCTATCACTAAGCTTAATTCTTTCTTACCTTCCTTTTTAGAGGCTGATCGACTAGAAATTAATGATCGTCCTCCTAATAATGATCTTACTTTTGATAATGATAATCGTCTTAGTCGTCTTGGTTTTGGTGATCATCTTAATCGTATTGCTGCTGTTCTTAATGATAATGATGGTGATGATATTAATATTTATAGTACTGCTCTTGATGATCTTACTCTTGATTTTAATCTTCTTGGTTGTGCTCTTCCTGATGGTGATCCTGATCGTTTTCGCGATGGTAGCGATAGGGATTGGTGACAGTATTGTTCATTTGAAACTTTTAATTAATTTAGTTTTTTTGTTTATCTTTAGCCGATTTGTTTTCAAGTTCGAGAAACGAATTTTTAGCTAATTATTTTCAATGCTTTTTTTGTATTGTTTTATTGAATCTTGAGAGTGGGTGTGAGTCTGTGAGGAGTGTATGGGTGTGTGGGTGTGACTATGGAGGTGGGTGTGAGTATAACTGTAGTATAAATATACAGATCAACAAGTACACCCGCATCCGCAGCGTCGTCTACACCATAAATGCATAACATCAAGATATACTTGAGCTGAAATATCCAATATTTTTCTTAAAGGAGTACCACCTTTTACACCAAAATAATCCCCTGGTGACATTTGTTTTCGTGTAAAACTAGAGTTGCACAAACATTAATATGCGGTGATGTGCGAAGACTTGATGAATTTTGGTTGTATGGATATGTAACAATTCGACCTTTTTCGCACCAAACACGTCGTTTAATACATTTCAGACATGCATAGTATCCATTATGATGAACATGTTTGGTTGCTAGTGCACGAGCTGGTAAATCTGCCTTAAAAAGCAATATATCAACTGAAAATATAATATCATTAACTATTAAAGTTCGTTTAATTGTATTGCAAATTTCTCCCAGCAATGAGTCTGCATCAGATTTAACTGCTGTATTCCTAAAAAAGAATTGTAACATCACTGCTTATTTGAATATATTCGTGTGAAGAATATCGAAATAGATATTGAAAATGTAAAAAGGAAGGCGTGGCAAATCTCTAAGTGAACCGATTTTGAATAAACTTCTGCCTCTGATTTCTGATTTTTTATCAGAAATTTACGACACTGCTTCAATCTACTTTACTTAGAAATCTACTTTTCGATGTCACTTTTTAACACAATGATGTAAGATGGTCTAAACATATTTGTTTATTTCGTCTCATTTAAAAATAACAGCAAATTAGCATCGCAGTTGACTTCCTAATAAAGTTTGAAAGATTCACACATAAGCAAACCTCACATATTCTACTCATCAAATCAAAATATTCGGAACAAACTAGAAATCAGAAGTTCACTTTTAAAATTTTGAAAATTTATATATATAATTATTCGATTTCATTATCATTGCTATCATTTTATTAAAATGGATTAGAAAAGTAGAAATCAGAAATTTATTTTGCTTCAAAATTATTAAAGTCATCTATATGTATACGTATACGAATCGATTCTCTTTTATTATAGTATATTATGTTAGGTAATGATTAAATTGAATAATCTTTTTTTTAGAAAGTAGTAAAAAGAGTATGAAAGAGAATGTGTTTTGATGTAGCTTATGTGTATACAAATTTTGTATGGTTCTTTGTATATTGTTCTCTTTCTTGTCGTTTGATGTCACAAAGGTCGTATATACATGATTGTGTTTTGTGGTTCTATTCAGCTTCATAGATCAAATGTTTTTTTTCTTTTCTGTACTTCGAGGGTTCATGTGATATAATATGTCATATCATATCATATCAGATGACATCATATGTTTTCAGCTGAAAGATATTTGTTTTCGTGATGATTTCCAGGCATTGTCATTGTTGTTGATCTTGATTCATATGATATCATGAATAGATGTTATTGTTGTATGTAAGTATCTAGTGATCAGAGTTTTTGTTGTCTTTGTGAGCGGCACATATATAAAGCATTCAGATGTCAGCTACAACTATCATCTATCTATTAAACCATTCCTTGCTACAAGTTCAATCTAGTGTTTGATATTTCGTCTTTCTTCCTACGTTCCATCAAATTTCGGTAAAGTTTTATCCTATCATATTCGTTTTGCTGATGTAGTTGATAAATTTTTATTGCTAGTAATATGTCCAAGCGATCCTCAATATTAGAAGAGAAGGTACTTTCAGAAATGATACTCAATAATGTAACAGCAGCAACAAAAAGGAGTATCAATATGGCAGACATTGTGAACCACCAATAAATGAAGTTGCTCGAGGCTTATAAAGAAGCCTATAATTACACTCCGTCTCTTTCATTTTTTCTTTTGCTAGGAATGATGTCTCAATTTGCACAAAGTTCCTATTACACACATTATAACAGTACTGATCATTATCCCGTACAACTATACATGGTGTGGGTGCGGGTGTGGTGGACCTGGGTGAATATGTGTCTTTTAAATCTCTATTCACACCCACATCCACCCACCACTCAAGATCTTACAGTCATCATGCAGTTATCACCCAACAAGATGCAAATCCACCTAGTTAGAATGCAATCACACCCACACCCACACCCTTGTTTTCTTGTGTCTTGATAATGATATTTGAAATATCGAAACGCGTCGACTTATAAATTAATTGTTAAAATAAATATTCAGCTGCTGTTAAACTTAAATAAACTTTATGCCAATTATGCCCGTCAACAAACAAAATTACTTAGATACAGTTTGTTGTTTCGTATGAATTAAAAAAAAGATAATGAATCATCCGATACATACAGTTTATATTGATGATAACCATTATAGAACATTGAACATACAATGCAAGTTAGCACAAGTAAATACTTTTTTTTATTTTTATCCTTTAAGTAATTCCCGTCCAGATCTCATTAGTAATATTTTTTGTTCTTGTTCTCTCTTTGTTTGCAATGACCTTAACCATTATTCTTGTCGGATGAGCATGACTAATATTCATGGTATTGTGCATTGAATTTTTTTCCATGAAATGAGCCTATTATTTGTTTAAGCGTAACCGACGAACACTAACTACTATATAAGACACGATAAAGAGAAAGGAATACATTAGAAATTTCTAAAATAACCGAAAATGGCTATTGACACTAACCATGTATGTGTTACATTGTTTGTCATAAAAATATAATCAATACACGTTGCTATTCAATATTTAATCTTTTTCTATTTTTAGAACAATCACCTGGCCTTCGACTTCGCTAAAAAAAACCTTCCAATTTGAAGGATTGATGAAGAACGTGGAGCAAAACATGATGACACCAGGACAAAAGCAGCAAGTAAATAATCTACAAGAAGAGATAGCTGCATTAAAACATGAACTCCGCCACCTAATGACTTTGGACAACGACATCTGACTTCACTGAAACAAATAAAACATATTTTTTGTTTTTTTTTTTTGTTTGTTTCGTCCATTTTGTTTGTTTTCTTTTATTTGTTTCGTCCGTTTTGTCTGTTTCGTCGGTTTTGTTTGTTTCGTCTGTTTCGTTGGTTTTGTTTGCTTCGTCTGTTTTATATGATTTATTCTGCTTGATACATTTTTGTCCGATAATAAACATTATCAAATAGATAGAAAAATTAAATTATAGGAACAATTGATTTGATTCCCTTTGATGATGATAAGAATTTGATGAATGATTTATTCGAGTATGAATGTTGAATAAGATTATCAATCAAGAATATCCTCTCTAATAATAGACGAAATAAGTAAATACAAGGAAATAATGAATTGAATGTTCTCAATTAAAATAATTATTTGAAATTAGATATATTATTCTGTAGGATAATATTGATCAGAAGTGAATCAAATTCATTTGGAATATTTTATTTCATATGATTTTGTTATATTTATTAAACAAAAGCTTATGAACCAGTTCGAGATTTTTTCATCTCGTATAGAGCTGATGAAAAGTACATCATTGGAAAGAGAGTAAAAAACTAACGAGGGAACATCCCCAACTGAAGTATCGCTTTGGAGTTCGGGTCCGGTGCATAATGTAGACCCCAATGAAGTATGAAAAACCCCAAAAGGATAAGGGTCCATAGGCCTTCTGTCCCGAGTTATAGGCAATACACTGAAATTTTAGCCTATGGGAGGGTATGTAGAAATAAATCGAATGGCGGTATTTCGACCTGAGATTTTGCCCACAGAGAGGCCTATATGTGACTGGAATACCCTGAAAATTTCAGCTCAAAAGAACGTTTCCTTCTCGAGATATTAAAGTCT